TTTTTTTTCTCTCTCATCGCTCTTGTTGTAATGTATTGGGAAGCCAGAATGTGTATCCATCAACAGAAACATGCATTAGCCGAACTCTAACAAACCATATTACAGATGCATTGTCAGATTTAAGTTGAACCGCGGTCCTAGTGTATCCCGAACCATGTGTGGAGAACGGTACGATTCGATTTTTTACCGAGAACCATTGCATCCCTAGTTACAAGTACCAAAGGTTCACACAAAACAAGGGGAGTCCGCTTTTAACTATTATGCCACCCGCAGCTGGAATCGGCTTCCAGAAGAGATCAGATGTGCTTAAACATTAGCCACATTTAAATGCAGACTCAAAACTCATCTGTTTAGCTCTGCATTTATTGAATGAGCACTGTGCTACGTCCGAACTGATTGCACTGCATTTTATATATATAATAATTTCCTATTTTTAACTATTCCTTTAACCTTTAAATGCATTAATGTTTCGCCAACCATTATTACATATTCGGGTCTTTAGCGACCCGGACCTCTATATCCTGCACGGATGGATCTCTAACTGCTGCAATAACAAAAATCTCTCTTGATATTTTAAGAACAATTACAGAAGACTTAAGTTGCATTAAAGTTAAAAGAAAAGTTGCATGGTGCAAAACTAAGTAACGTTCATTTACATTTTTATGCATTTGATGCATCATGCTTTTATCCACGTAAGTGACTTACGTCGCATTAAAGTTATGCTTCTGTTTTCCAGAACAAATACCTAAACATTCTTAAATCAAGATGCATTTTCTTGAAATGCAAAATGGCTTAAGATATTAAATCTTAAAGCAACCAAAAGTCGCCAAAGCAACACTAAAATAACTAAAACTGTAATAATTTAAAAAAACACTAATAAAAATTACAAAAACACAACAAAATTACTAAAACTAATACTACTAAAATAAAATAAATTTTTTAATAAGAAAATAATATTAAATAACAATATTGAAATGAAAACATTATTAATAAAAATATAATATATATATATATATATATATTATATATATTTTTTTTTTCAATATAACACTAACTCATCAAATCCACTCCCATTAATTTACCTGGAGAAATAGGGAACAATAGAAATATATTTCAGGCTGTAACCTAATAATATTTTTATTATTAATTAAAACAATATTTCCAAGAAAATGGATTCCATTTTAAGCATTTCAATTAGAGAGAAAAAATGCAGCATTGCGTAGTTAATTTTTTTTTATAATCCACTTATTCATTGAAATATTGTGATAAAAGAAAACCAACTAATTGACATCTTTACAAATGTGAGTTTATTATTACATCTAACAAATTAGGGTCACAAAAATAAACTTTGCAGATTCCTGCGTTAGACGCGGCCCGCGTGCTGTGGACCAGCATGCACTGCTGACAGGTGCAAGGCATTCCCGAGCTGGTGCCCACCGGCCAGGACTGGGATTTGGGGATGGATCCAGCGATGAGAGGGTACGCCAGGTCCATCCGTCGGCGGATGCGCCGCTTCCTCTGGCTCTGCCGGTTGGTTTGGGACATCCCGTCGAAGTCCACCACATAACTGAAGCCCAGAGAGCTCAGGTCCAGCCAGGGGTGCTGCTTCTCGTAGGCGTTCTGGATGCTGACGCACAGCTCCATGTCGTACGGCGTCCAGGAGCCGCAGTCGTTCTCCCATTCCCACACAATGCCCTTGCCTGGAGCCGAGGACGGGTCGTAGAAATTGCGCTGCACGGGACGCATTGTGCCTGTTGCGAGAGAGAGAGAGAGAGAGAGGACTAATAAAGAAACAATACACAGCAAAAAAAAAAATGTTTTGTTCCTTTTCATTTCTGAAAAGTTGTGCATGGTGCAAAACTAAGTAACGTTCATTTACATTTTTATGCATGTGGTGCATCATGCTTTTATCCAAACTGACTTAAGTTGCATTAAAGTTAAAAGAAAAGTTGCATGGTGCAAAACTAAGTAACGTTCATTTACATTTTTATGCATTTGATGCATCATGCTTTTATCCACGTAAGTGACTTACGTCGCATTAAAGTTATGCTTCTGTTTTCCAGAACAAATACCTAAACATTCTTAAATCAAGATGCATTTTCTTGAAATGCAAAATGGCTTAAGATATTAAATCTTAAAGCAACCAAAAGTCGCCAAAGCAACACTAAAATAACTAAAACTGTAATAATTAAAAAAAACACTAATAAAAATTACAAAAACACAACAAAATTACTAAAACTAATACTACTAAAATAAAATAAATTTTTTAATAAGAAAATAATATTAAATAACAATATTGAAATGAAAACATTATTAATAAAAATATAATATATATATATATATATATATTATATATATTTTTTTTTTCAATATAACACTAACTCATCAAATCCACTCCCATTAATTTACCTGGAGAAATAGGGAACAATAGAAATATATTTCAGGCTGTAACCTAATAATATTTTTATTATTAATTAAAACAATATTTCCAAGAAAATGGATTCCATTTTAAGCATTTCAATTAGAGAGAAAAAATGCAGCCATGAGTA